TGTCGGGCACCCCTGGTCCAGTCCGTCCCCAGCGTTTCGGCGTGTGGTTGGCTATCCTCCTCGCGACCTGCCACAACCAACCACGCGGGGCAGGCCGACGCTGTCACGAACGACGCCTCTGTTTCCGACTGCGCGAAGACACCACGCGTACCTCTTGAATGCAAAGATAGACTGTGTCTGGTTGTAGTATGGGACTCCTTCGTACACATTAAAATTGCCAGACTATGTCAAGCCAGGCTCTGAGAACCTGCGGCTTTGGCACTCGAAGAAGGGAGGAAACAACTAGGGCGGAGGGAACTGCTTGCCGTTGACGTCGGCATTGCTGTAACATTCGCGCTTCCTGTGGCCCCACCGCCAGCAGCGGTCACAATAACTCTGGAACTGGCCACACTGCGCGCCACGTCCCGCGCCGATGCAAGAAACCCCAGTCGGGGGCCCTCCGACCTTGCCACCCTTGGGCAAGTCTCTGTCTTTGCCGTTGCCGTCCTTTCCCTTTCCTTCCTTCCCTTTAGGCTTGCCGCCCGAAGGAATTCTCGCAAGGGAGCCGATGTCCATCGGCGCGGGCCCCTCTTGGCAGACCACCTGCTCGATGTACCGCTCCACCTCGCGCTTCAAGGCGTCGCGCGTATCCAGCCGCCCGATGTTTAAGTCGATGTGGTTCTGCAGTCCGGCGGGCCACATGCTACGAAGGCATGCGCGCCGCATCCTGTCGGACAGCTCCTCGCCTGTCCTGTCCTCGTCGTGGGTGTAGCCCTGCTCCCACTGCTCGATGGCGGATAGCAGCGGGTCCGTCCCGACCTGGGCCTGTCTCGACATCTTCTGCATCAGCCTCAAATTGGACACAAGGTTGCTCGGGTCGTACTTGCGGTTGGGTTGCCGCCAGGCGTCGAGCCCCTGGATCCTTGCTTATGTTTTTTTTCACGATGCCGAACGCAGTCGTGCCCATCGTGGTTCGGCTCGTCAGCACCGCATGGAGCTGCTTGTTGATGTCATGCGCTCCAGGGTGCCGCGCCTGGGCCTCGTCGAGCCTTCCCCTGGGTCACCGCCCCCTCACCGAGGCCGGCCGCCCAGGCCAGCACGCCCTCGCCGTCAGCGAACAGCCCGCTGAGGCATGTCGAGGACTTGTAGCTCCAGCCAGGCCAGTCGGCCTCCTTGCCGGGCTGCCTCCTGCGCGCCGCGATCTCGGCCTCCAGGAGCCTCTCCTGCTGCTGGAGCGCGGCTTGAAGAGCGTCGCCTTGCTCCCCAGCCTGCGCGCCCACTGCACGCAGCGCCTCATTCGTCCTCTCCTGCGTCTGCCGTAGCGTGTCGGCAAGCGACGCGAACGCCTGCATCACCTGCTGCTCGTTCATCGTACCTGCCAGCGCATCGCCTGCCGCACCGGAGCGCTAGCCCCTCCCAGTGTACTCGGAACAATCCCGCCATCGCCGCTGGCGGGTGAGGATTGGGTGGATCGCTAACCGCGCTCCGCTACCATGAATCGGGTTTTCCCTGATCCGCAAAACGGCTTCGGACGCGTGGGATCTCGACAGAAAGACGTCGACTAAAACAACTGAAAATCAATGATTTTACCCTCTTCGGGCTCTCTGGGGACGGCTCTCGAAGCTCTCTTGGGCTGTTTTTGGAGCCTCTTTTTGGGGGGCCTCTCAAGGGTCTGGGGTGTGTTGGAGGCCCCTGGGGGGTCCCGGAATCCTCTCGGAGGTCTCTGGAGGCCTCCCGCTCTTGGGCTCATCTTGGGCCTGTTCTGGGGTGGTCTGGAGCTGTCCGGGGCGCCTCTTCGGCAATCTTGGGGTCGTCTTGGCCCGTCTTAGGGCCGTCTTGGGCGCCTCTTGAGCGGTCTTGGGGCGGTCTTGGGGGCCTCTTCGGTCATCTTGAAGCGTTAGAAGCATGAAATGGTGAGAAGGCCAAAAACCCTGGAACAAACAATGAAAATTAACGATTCAAGGTTCTCCGGGCACTCTCGGGAGGCCACTCGGATATCTCTTGAGGTCTCTTGGAGGCCTCCTGGAAGCCTGGAGAGCCGCCCGATAGCTATCCTGAGTTACTTGGGAGAGTCTCAGGCAATTCTTTTGCGTTCTGGGGGCTTCTTGGGGTCGTCTTGGGCTGTCTTTGGGCATTGTGGAGGCTCCAGGGGAGGCTGGGAAACGCGGTACCGGGAACGTATCCGAGATGTGAGCGAGGTGGAGGACGCCCCGGGAGGGGGCCCGGCGTTTTTGTATGTACATACAAATATGCACAACAGGTTAGCCAGCGTGGACCCCAAATCATATTTCTTGCTTGCAATATACATATATATATATATATATATATATATATATATATACCTATATATATATATAAATATACACGGTGCAACCCATGCGTTGCAATCTAGGTGGTGCAATCTCTGTGGTGCAAAGCAATACAAGGCATTGCAAACCGATGCACGCTGCAAAGCACTGCAAAGTAACTCAAAGCAATGCCAAACATTGTAAAACTATGCATAATGCAAAGCAATGCAAAGTAACGCAAATCTCTGCAAAAAATGAAGACCATTGCCAGACCATTGCAAAGCAATGCCAAGAGATGCAAAGTAATGCAAAGAAATGCAAAACAATACAAAGGAATGCGAAGCAATGCAAAGCCGGCGGCGACGAGGCGGCGACGGCGGTTACATGGCGGCCGGAGCGGCCCTGGCGACGGGCGGCGATGGGCGGCAACGAGGCGGAGACGGCGGCCACATGGCAGCCAGAGCGGCCCGCAAGCCCGCTCCCTTAGAGAAAACAAATGACAACCCCAAATGAAGTGCAAACACTGTGTGGTATATCTATGGATACACATCCATTCGCTGCTGGAGAAGGCTAAAGGCCATGGAAGAGGAGGGGGAAGAAATGAGATAGAGGAGGCAGGAGAAGGACATGCCGACGCGGATTGGGTCGAAGGGGGCACGAGGAGGCGAGAAAAAGCATACGTAAGAGAGGCGCAAGCGGTGGAAGAGCATGGGACGCAGCAAGCCATACGAGTACGATATGCTTCTCTTCTGAGTGATGCCAACAGAAGGCGAAGGCGAAACGTAGGCGCCAGGAGGGGGAAGATGAGGGTCGGCAGAACTTTCTGTTACATGTTACCGCTCCGTAGAGGCTACCTGTCCGCTGCGAGAGCAGGCAACATCCACGTCGATCTCGGCTAGCCAGGGAAGGCGGACCCTTTCACGACAGCTACTGCCGTCCCAATCGAGGGCCTCACGCGGGACAAAAAAGACCAGGAACCGAAAAGGCAAGCCAACTAACGTTGGAAGGGCTGAGGAGCCTGAGCATGGGAAGGAGCGAGAAGTAGAGGGCCAAAAAGGCATACGCTTTGGGATGTCCGTGCGCCCCCCCCACCCACACACACACACACACACACACCTGACGGCGCTTCCAGCCCCGCGACGCGCAGGTGTTTGGGCGATGTCTATGTCGTCATGGGTGAGAGCCCGTCCACAAGATCTCTCCGCGGCGCGCGTGCGCGCTCGCGCGAGACGGGGCGGACCCACGGGGGGTCCCCCAGCAGCGGGCGCGCGGGCAAATAGAAACCATGGGTGCACGGTCTGTGGCGGCAGGCCGCGGGGCACAGATTGAGAGCTCGGGTGCCCGAAGCCACGAATTTGGACGCCCGAAATGGGCACGGAAAGAATGGGTACAATGCCCAACAACAAATGCTGTCCCAAACCAACTGCGGCCGCTGTTGGGCAGGCGGCCTTCTGTCTCGCATGGACACAGGCCGCGGCGGCGTGGACAGCGAATCCTGTTCAAAATGAACAGGAACTGCTGTTGGGCATTGTACCCATTCTTTCGGTACCCATTTCGGGCGTCCAGAACGAAAGACCGAGATGGGATGTCCGGGTGGTCATGGCCCGGGGCCCACCTCCACCTCGTGCGCCGCTTCGCTCCTCAACAGCATGTTGGTGCGGCATGCACCGCGCCGTCGTGAGGGTCGCCGGGCATGGCATCGTGACTCTCGCTACTGGCAGGCCATCTCAACAACGCACGACCAGAACTGGTGAGCCTCGGCGCGCCGCGCAGCGGCCCCTATAGGGAATAACCACTTCGCGAGCCCATGGCGTGCGGCACGAGTGCCTGGCGCCCCGCGCAAGAAACATCACGGCAGCGGTGAAACCCACGCCGAAGGTCCGGCAATTCGGCAACTGCCGGCCCCAACTCCTGCAACGGCCTGGTGCGAGATCCATGCCGCCCTCGCAGATCAAAACAGCCTCGTCGCTGCTGGCCGCGGGGGCCCTGCACGTGGCCGGATTCTCGACTTCAAGGGCAAGGACGGTCGCGTTCGGATCCCGAGGCATGTTTGCGTCAACGAAAAATGATGCGGGCCCCAAAAATGTGCACCACCACCACCACGGCGATTCCTCCTCCCTCATCTGCCCTCCTAATTATTCCTTGCTTCTTTCCTGGGAGAGCGAGGGGGTGAGGGAGGTGGTGGTGGTGTATATGCTTGGGCCCCGTACATGACACCTCGCGTCGAGGCCTCCTAGATGGGGTCGGAGGATCGCGCCGCATCGCCAATGCATCGCCGGCATCGCCAATGCATCGGCGATGCCGGCGGCGTCGTCGATGCGTCGGCGCCATCAGCATGGAGAAACTCTGGCTCCTCATCGAGCCGCATCGTCGACGCATCGTCCGCGCGGGGCGATCCTCCGACCCCATCTACTCGGACCCCACTTAGGAGGCCTGGATCGCAAGCCTACCCCATCCGCGCCGATTGAGGCTGCTGGGCTGGCATGCTCTTCGGAACTCCATACATTGCGGCGGTGGTGGTCCTGGTGGCAGAGGTGACGGAGGAGCACCTATTGAGCTGCAGTCGCTGCCGTCGGGGCTGAGGGGTGGGCTTGCGCGTGCAGGGTTAGCGCGAAGTCCAGAAGGCGCATGGATTTGGAAATTGATGGGCGCGGCACCAGCAACACCCCCAATACCTACTGGAGCCTGCTCTGGGTCATCGTCGATGTCCTCATCCTCCTGGGCATCAACGAATTATTCCAACTCGGTAATGCTGCTGCGAAGGCGCTCGAGCTCCTCCTCCACCTTTTTCGCCTCTTCGATGAGACCTTTGACATTACCCGTGATGCCGCGCATGCGCTCAATCAACAATTCGATCTCTAATTTGGTGTATTCCGTGCAGCTGGCGAGTGCCGTCTCCGCCGTAGCCTGCATGAGCTTGACGTTGGACATCTCTTTGACTATGGGGGCGTGCCCGTGGTCACCATCTTCAACAGCGAGCACCATCTTAGCCAATTTGACCAGCTGTCCAAGTCCGCCGCCTTGAAGGCCCTCAGTGTTTGGACTTCCGTCGGGGGCTCTGGGAACACGTCGCGACCTCGTTGGGTCGCCATCACTTCTGTACGGGTAGCGAGGACAACCTTGGCAATGAAGGTCCTGAGGGCACGGCTCTCAACATGTTTCTTTATCTCATTGGGCTTCCTTGGCAGGCGGCGATCACGTGACACAGGGCGGCCTCCAGGGCCTGGAACAACATGTGCTCCCTGTTTCGTTTTCGTATGATCACCCTGGCCGAACCAGCCCGCCATGTTTGACGAATGGTGGGCTTGGAGCAGCGCGCTGGCTTGAAGGCTCTGAGCACGAGGCGGGTTTCCGATCTCTTTGCCCTGGCACGGCGATGCCGAACAACTTCCTTGCTAATCGCCGTACAAAAAAATGATCAGCAAAGGAAAGGTGTCGCGGCACAAACGGAATAGAAAATGCAGGGAGCGCAATGCACGCCTATAGGTTGAACCGACTTCTAGTAAGCAGAATGCTATGGCTCTCTCCCAGTGCCAAACAACTGTCGGTCCCAAACCATGTTGAGCCAAAACCATCGCCACCTCCTCCTCCTCCTCCTCCTCCCACAACTGCTCTTATTCCTATTCCCATCCGACTCCTCTTCATCTTCCTCCTCGTTCCGCATCGCCGGGCGGCGCGCTCCAAAGACGCGCCCGGAAGCCTCGTTCTGCGGCTGCCACTGCCCCTGAGGCTGCCACCCCTGGGGCTGCCACGGCCCCTGCGGCTGCCACTGCCCCTGCGTCTGCCACGGCCCCTGCTGCTGGCCGAACTCTGCGCCCTGCACGGAGGCCATGGGCATGGAGGTGTCAGTGGAGCCTGTGGCCAGGATGCCTCCTCATCGCTCTCATCCTCAAGCTCTCTTTGCCTTCTTCTTCTTCGTCTTATGTTTCTTCTTCTTGCGCCCACATCCTCCTGATTCTACACGTCCTCCTCCTCCCTTTTCTAAACCCTGGTGTGTATTGTTTGCAGATATGGCCCCCTCGACTGATTCCCAAAGTCGCCAGCCCATCGGGGCCAGAGTCATGTAAACGGTAAGATAGTTGGGCTGGCCCCTGCTACAGTTGCGATCCCCCAAGACGGTAAACCACGGAATCAACTTAAGACCGTGGTGAATAGTATAATACGCGCACTCGAGGCGCCACCGAAAGAATCTGTGGGCGAAACTGCTGCCAAGACCAGGGCGAGAGCCCCTCAAGAGCGTGCCCAAAGCGGGGGCCAAAGCCTGCCAGGCCACAAAGTGGATCCAGTACGGCTCATGCTGGTCCCAACTGGCCTACTGGGCGTCGAGCACGGCCAAAGATGGCCAAATGAAATCTCATCGGAGCCTCCCAAGATCCTGCACCGTGCCTCTAGCACGAAGTGGAGTGCCACAGGGCTCACAGCTGTGCTGCTGCTGCAGCAAGGATTGTAGTTTCTCAAGGGCCCCATAACTCCAGAGTTCCAGGCCGTCTCGGGGTCTCCAGGGGTTTATCTCGTGAGTTCTGGAGTGTCTCCTGCCCGTCCTCTGGACGCTGTGCCCGCCCAAAACGACCTCCCGAGCTCTCCGACGCGTCCAAGAGGGCTCCGAGTCGACGAACGGTCGCTCCCTCAAGAAAGACGGCCCAAGAGGCCTCCAAGACGGCCAAAATTGCCTCCAACAGCACTCCCAAGAGGGCCCACAGAGGCAAAAACCAATGATGTTCGTTCAATGTTTGAAAGATTGTGGCGCTTCCGCCTTTTCGGGTTCCCGACGCTCCAAGACTGCCTGCCTAAGAGGCCCCCGAGATCGCCCCAAGACGGCCAAAAGGCCGGCTCAAGAGCGCCCCAAGAACGCCCCAAGAGGGATCTCAGAGGGATACGAACTGGCATTGTCTCTTCCGCCCCAAGGCCCCCAGGAGGCCCAAGAGGCCCCCAAGAGACCACGAAGAGGCATTAAGGGCCCCCCAAGGGGCCCCCAGGCGGCCCCTAAGAGGCCTCCAAGAGGCTGCCAAGAGGCGCAAAACCTGCCCCCAAGAGGCCACCGAGAGCCCGAAGAAGCATCCATAAGGACTTTTACCCAAAACCCAGGCACGGTGGCGAGACGGGTCCACGGCCATTAGATAGCTAAACTCGCTGGACCAGAATACTTGTGGTTAATGGTTGTGGCCTTCTCGCCGTTGAGGGTACAAACAACAGGAATCTCGAGCATAAAGATGGCCCCCGGAGCTCTCATGACAGAAACCCGGGAATGCCCCCGATACTCTACAAAGGGGCCTCCACGGGCTCTCAAAGAGGGAAACGATCGCGGGTCAACCATGACCGTGACGGACGATTGTCCCAAGGCCCCCAATATGGCTCCAACATGGCTCCACAGACAGCCCAGTGGACATCAAACATGGCTCAACATTACCGAATAATCCCCCAATGTGGCAAACATGCAATAATGCAACTCGTTGTTACGGAAGAGCGCTTTACTCATGGTGGGAGCTACATGTTGTTGGCCTTCCCGAATTTGCGAGCTCCAATTGGCTCCTTGGGCCCAGAGGTGGCCTCAAGAGGAATCCAGAAGGGCCCAGGGGAGCCACAATAAGAGACGATCGCTCAAAGTTGATTCTCAGATGGCTCCAAGACGCACAAGGATTGTCAAAGAGACCGCATCCATTCCTGTCAGGTCCCACGATGGCACGAACTGGTCCCAGCATTTCCCCAACATCGTCCTCCATGTTTCGAGACAGCCCATGGGACTTCAACGAGAAGTCAGGATGGCTGAAGAAATCTCCTTGGGAGAATCGCAAGATGGTCAGACTTACTGAAAACCATTTGCGTCCGCTCTTGGACGTCTCCCCCATGTGGGGTCCTATAGGCTTTTCGGGCACATTGGTGGCCCCAAGAGAGCCCAAAGCGGGCTCCAGAGAAGACTCCTGGGGTCGCGGGGGGCCCACAACGAAGCCACTGAGTGACAGGTCATGGGCAGCCCAAGCGGGTTGGTCAAGGACAGCAGAAGAGGGAGGAAGGGGGGGGGACTGAGAGCGCGACAAAGGGGGGGAAAGAGGGAGGGGGCCGAGGAGAGACGCAGGGGTGAGGGGGAGGGTCATGACAGGTGGGGAGGGTGCTCTCCCAAGATCTCCTCTCCTTGCCCACCCCCCGGAAGGAGAGCTCTGGGCGCCCTTCGGGCTACCCCTTGTCTTCCGGACAAGCAGAGTTCCTCCTCGGACCCATGCTCCTCGACCCCTCAATCGACCAGCAGGGGTAGGGGGTGGCGAGGGCTATTCCTGCACTCTCGATTCTCGTCCTGCATCTCTTCACGCACAAGGAAGATGGAGGACGACGAGAGGAGGAGGCAGATGAGATGGAGAAGCGGGGAGAGGTGGGCTGGAGAGAAGGTCGCCCCTCCGAACCCTCCACGACTCTGACTTGTGCCCTCGCGCGACCGTACAGCTCGGGGTTTTCCTTCGCGAACTTCTTCTGGTCAGACCTCGTGGCCGGCTCGGATCCGTCACCCTCCTGCACACCGTGATCTCCCACAAAGCCGTCTGGGGCAGATCCGTCCTCCTGCCCCCCTCCTGCCCTTCTCGATCCCCCGCCCCCTCCCGTTGCCACCGCCTCGCCACGCGGAGATGGCGCCGTGTCTGCACGGTCGAGTCGGACGTTAAAATCATGGTCGCCACCTCCTTACACCTGCCCCCCTGCCCTCTCCATCATCCCCCCTGCACATCCTCCCCTATCACCTTTCTCCCCCGCTCCCTTCCAGACTCCTTCCACGCCTCCACTCCTGGCCCCACTCGAATCCTCCCGTTCCACCCCATCGCCGCCTTTCCCAACACATCCCCGCGCGAGAGTCGCCACGGGCGAGGGGTGCCTATGTGCGGACTACCCGTTCGCGGGTCGCCTGATCAGTCGATGCACCGAGAGCAATTGAAGTGAACAGCGCAGTGGGCTCTCATAGCGGCTGTGCCAACAGGCGACGGTGAGTGGCAGCAACAGGTGGTACAGTGTACGCGATGGCCTCTAAGTAACAGCACCCAGAGTGACCGGACGACGGCTTCACCGGAGGTGACTGACATCAGGTGGCAACTATGCGGTTGCACCAAATGTTACGGTGTCGGCGCTTGTCCGCGGCAAAAGAAAAACTGATAGAACGCAATTGAACTCAGGATGAATGTACAGCGGGTCATTCAGGGAGCCGTGGCAAACGCTGATATGTTTAACTGCGCCTGTGCTGGGAGCCAGATGGGCTCTACCACAAGACTGCTTGTCGCTTTCAACTGGACGTGCACATCCGCCACCGTGTCCCGTGGCACGCTGAGGCGTGGTAATCCCCCCCTCTTCCAATCACGCTCAGCCGCACTCACCACTCCCTGAGCGCCCTGGCGACTCCCGAGGGCTCCCCGAGGCTCTCCGAGGCTTCTCGGGCGGCTCAGGACGGACACCGAGGCCGCCAGGATGGTGCAACACTACCTCAAAACGCACCCAAAAGGCCTCCAACAAGCCCCAAGACACCCCCAATACGCTCTCCAGGAGACCCACGAGAGGCCCACAACAATACGTACTCATTGTGCCTTTCCACGCACTTCGATCGAACTTTACTTGCGGTCTTCGATGGCTCGACGGGGCCCACTCTCCGGGAGAACCCCAAGCTGGCCAAAGAGGGCCTCAAGAGGGACCCAAGGCGGCGCCCAGATGGTGCCGTACGGTTCCAATACTACCCTACGAGACCACCAAGATGGCCACGAGAGGCTCAAGATGGCCCCAAGACGGCCTCAAGGGAGGCCCAAGACGGCCAAGGCAGGTACCAGACGAGCTCCTCAAGAAGTGGACGCAAGAGCTTCCAGGCCAGGTGTCACGTGTGAAGGCCTCTCGGGCCGTGCTCGGAGGGGTCGCCACACGGAGAGCTTCGCTGGCACGAGGCTGTGGTTGCCGCAGGCAGCTGGAAAGTCGTGTCGTCGTCTCTGCGGGCCTCCCTGTCGCATCCCGGGGGCTGGCAGCGTGACAGACGCTACAGAACGAAAATCACGTTCCGGGGATACGACTGGCGCCACTGAGCTGGAATGCGTACAGTAGTAAGGCGATACTTCCATTATGGGTCTGGAGCGTGGCCATCTGATTCCCCAATCGGGCCAAGATATTCCCAACGTGGCCCTAAGATTGCCCCCGACGGCTTCCAAGACGACCATAAGGCCTCCAATACCAAGACGCCACCTAAACCACTGATGTCCCTGAAGTTGTTGATCAGAATTTAGCGTTCGCGCCTGTTCGGACGTATGACGGCCTGAGAGGTCCGCATGATGTGCTCAACCCAAAGACGGCCTCAAGCGTCAGACGAACCAAGAGCGCCTAGAGACGGCCCAAGAGGCCCGCCAGAGGCCCCCAGAAGGCCCCCAATGAGTCCGAGAAACCTCCAAGAGACCAATTTCTCCTCCCCACCCGTGTCCTCCTCCTCCTACTCGTACCCCTCTTCCTCTCGCAGATGTTTCCCCAAGGTTTTCCACACCGGCTGGGGGAGCACACAGTCCGATAGTCTGGCCAGCTGTAGGCCCGACGCTTGGACACTTGGGCGTTTGCAGAAGGGCCAGGGGCGGGGCGCCATCGACGCCAACGAGCACTCCTCCTTCTTCTCCTCGACAGCGTTTGGGCACACGGCTGCAACGGGCGGACCGGATTTCGTTCACCTTCTCCACGTGCAGCGTGCCCAGCATGAAGGACACGATGACGCACGGAACCGCCGAGAGAAGGCACGCGCCCTCGGTCAGGCAATGCGCGCAGCGGCGGGGTGGGAAAGGCAAACAGGAGGAAAAAGACAAGGAAAATGAGAAAGAGGAGGTGAGAAAGGTAACGAGTGGAGAGGGGAGAAAGTGGGGTTGATGACAGAACAGGTGGTAACACAAAAGGAGAATTGGGAATGGGAGGAGCGGAACCGAGGTGCAGGATCTGGGCAGGTCGGGCGAAGCGGATCATTGATGGGGGCTGCTCGGGCCAACACGAGCCTCAGTTTGACGGGCCCCCCCCCGCTTTGTTTCACCAATGCTTCCTCACCGCCATTCTCTCGACAATGCGCCTGGGAGTAGTTTATGGATCGGGTGGGAATACGGAAGCGTCAAACATTCACCAATCAAATACCCACCCCCCTCATGCCGCATTTCGCGTTCCACCCGGTCGAATAGGTGGCTCCTCACGGAGAGTACCCAACAAAGCGAACAACATCACCACGCAACGGCAAGGCTACCAGATCCCCTGGACAACGAGGTCGACAGAGTTGCGATAGGTTGCTCGGTTCCAGGCCTCCCTACTCGGGTTCGTTCCGAGGATCGCGCCGCCTCGCCGATGCATCGGCAACGCAGCTCGACATGGAGTTCGAGTTTCTCCACGCCGACGGCGCCGATTAACCGGCGATGCAGGGCGATTCGCGGACCCCGCTTGAGAGGCCTCTGCTGGTATACCACAATGCCACCATGGCGTATTGTTGGTGCACGTGGCGTTCGTTGTGACTGACATGATTCGCCCCGCTGCTGTACCCAAAGCGTCCGAGGCGTTTTACGGGTAGCATGTAATGGTTGAGCTAAACTGGATGCTCGTGATGGTTGAAACGCATTAACCTTACAATCATCAGGGACGTCCAAGAGGCTCGCGTCCATGAGCGGGGTTGCCTAAGCATCATCACCTGTTGGCCGCCCCCGACAATCCGAACATCGTACTGCTGGCCCGAAGACTTGTTGGACACGGCTGAGAGTGGCCAAGCTCAGCGCTTCGACCACAACGAGCGAGGCCCAGAAATATGGCCATGGCAACTAGCATGCTCGCCATACTCCCTCGAACTAGCACGTCCAACACTACTACACATGTAACATCGCATTCAGGCTACGCAGGCACGGGATACGCTTACACGTGTTCTCCAAGGTGATCGAATGTCTAACGAATCTGCTAATGTTTGGCTGGATATTCTAGGTGCCTTGCCAGCCCAAGAGCACTCAGACATAACCGAACAACATACTGGCGAAGTACCAGAATCGCCGACGAACAAGAAGTACTGTATGACTTGGCAATCTGCTGCGGGTATCGCTGGGCCTCCCCAAGCCCCCCCCCCAGGGTGGCCACCCGGCCACGACTGCTGCATACAGTGCTCTCGAAACGTCTCGGGGCGCCCTCGGCTGAGGGCGTGGCGAAGGAGAACATGACGCTGGATCCCATGCTGACGCCCTGACCCGCAGGAAGCATGTCCTGGAGTCGGGGAACGAGGGCGGCAGCGCGGTCCGAGGGAGGGGAAAAGGGGGGCGACGGAGTGGGGGGGGAGCCAGGATGAGGGCGCGATGGGCGCGGGGGTCAGGATGGAGGAATGCAGGAGCGACAACCGGGTGCGCATGTTGTCGGTAGTCATGACGCGATCCCCCATCGCGATCCTCATACCCTTCCTGGTGTTCCTCTCACAGCTCCTGCTACTGATGCCCCTCTTCCTCATCTCTTCACTAGCTAGCAGGCCATCTCGGGCGGCTAGGTGGACAGACCAGAAGGGGGCAATGTACGACGACCACGAAGAGCAAGGAGGAGCATGGAAGAACCGAAGACGAGAGCAGGGACTCCATGCATTGGCAGCCCCTCCAGTTCCGGTGGGGGGCGGCCGCCAGCGACCTAGGCCAAGAGAAGGCTCGACAATGGCCAGCATTGGGCACAACACAAGGCTAGGCCGTGAAGTGCAAATCAGACCCCACGGCACGACAGAAACGGGCACCAATCACCAAGCAAGTAGCGCGATCCCTGGCTGGGCTGGGCGGCACAGCCACTCTGTGAGCGTGTCAGACGTCACCGTTCGCAACATCAACGCACGACGGTGCCAAGCCGCGGCAGACGGCAAGGCTGCCTAGACCTGGGTGCGGTGCGAATGTAAACCGTACTATGCAAGGCGGCCCAAGAGTAGACGCGGCGAGCCGTTCTGGCCGTCGCCCACGCCCAGCCAGGGTCGCTTGCGTAGCATCCGACCCACGATGCGGGTCGGGCGGGCGGGCGATCTCGAGAGCTAGGCCCGCCATAGCGGCCAGGGCCTCGGCCATCGCGGGCAGCCACCCTGGATCAAGGCCTAGCCGACATGGCTGTGGACGCGCATTCCTACCAGGAAGTGGAGACTGCTCACAAAACAGTCTTCGGCTCGAACGGCGCGGCGCGTTCGTCTGCAACCCGAGCCCCGGCGGATGGATCTGGCCACCAGGTGAGAAGGACCCCGGTTGAAGCGCGGTTGCCTTCACGACGCGAGCCCTGACTGATGTCACGAGCGGCGAACATCCGTATCCGCGACCTCGCGGACTGGATTCCGGCGTTGCGATCCCACGGATACAGTCGCACGGATACGTTCCGCGGGGGACATTCGCGAAAAAACGCCATAGCCACGGGGTCGCGGCCCAGGGGACTGGCCCGCGAGGCCGCGGGGACGGATATGTGTTCCGCCCGCGATGGAGGATCTGGCCACCTGGCAGCGGCCGAGTTGCAGCCACACTCGCAGGACAGCTTCTTCAATGGCTGATCCATATACGACGCACTTCAGGGCAAATTTCGTGACATGCTTGTTGCGTCTACGGCGTCTGTCCTACCTGGGCGCCGTGGCTCGTCAAGAGGGCCTGCCCTTCCAACCCGTCGCCTTTGAATTTCACTTCCCATGCTACTTCTGCTGCAACGTGGTGAAATCCCGCCCAATTCTGACATGCTGCCGCAATGTGAATCCGAGATGGCTGGTCGCCCCGCTAGTTACGTGGAGCATGTTGCACTGTGACGGGGGAGATGCTTCGCAGTCGGGGAGGCGGGCAATCTGGGGGCTGCACCCTCAATCACATGCTTATGAGGCTGAATGGGATGCGGGTACAAAACGGCAAACAACCTATGACTTCCTCCCCAAAACGGGTGCCGTGCCAGGTATGAGCAAGAACCAATGCACACATACCAACAGCCGGGTGCAAACAGAAAGACAGCGAGAGTTTCGGGCGGGATGTCCGTTGCAGAATGACTTGTGCCCCGGCACATAGAAGTGTACAGACGTGGAACGCCCATTGCAGCGTTATGCCATTATGCGTACCAGTGTACAACATCGCTGCTCAAAGCTATCATTCTACAAATGAGCCGAAATTTCAGCACGCCCATGCACTACATCCACGACCACTCATACTACGCCTCCTCCTCCTCCTGCTGCCCCTCCCCCTCCCCCTCCTCCTCCTCCTCCTCCTCCTCCTCCTTCCTCCTTCCTCCTTCCTCCTTCCTCCTTCCTCCTTCCTCCTCCTCCCCCTGAGAATGCAACCCGTCCTACTCCTCGTCCGCCCCGTGCCCTTCCTCCGCCACCCCAGCCTTTTCTTCCCAGTTTCCCCTACTGTCGCGACTTGTTTGATTGCGCGGTCAGAACACACACATTCACACACACATACACATACACACATACACACACACACACGTAAGTGCGTACTGTGCTGAGCGGTGCCCTGACCGCAAGCAGGCGAGGAAAGATGACCACCTCTCCTCCTCCCCAGAGCAAGAAAGCCGCGCGTCCTCGACCAGAATGGTAGCCGAAACATATCCAGCGGTCGCCGTAATTTGCACAAGAGGGGCTAATATGTAAAACAGCTTGTTCCGCTGCTCCCCCGTGGGGAGTTGAATAGATGCGATGCGTCAGGTGGGCACCTGGGCAACCTACCCCTCGGATTCCTCCTCCTCCTTCTCCTACTACTCACCCTCCTCACCCTTCACTCCCCCGCCCCATCCCAACCCTCCTCCTCCTGGCTCCTCCTCCTCCTCCTCGCCCTCCAACTGCACATCCGACTTCGCAGCCTCCTTTCCCATTCTCCCGGTAACGGTCCCTATGGCTTTGTCCACCTGCTGCTACTGCTGCTGAAGCTGCTGCTCCTCCTGCTCGTGCTTATAAACCCTCCTCCGGCCTCATCCTCGGCCCATGGCATAGAGCGTCGACGTGCCGAAGTATTCGGACGACGTGGCTGAAATCACAAGCACAAAACTGCGCAAACAGAAACTTCCGGAGCTCCGCACGGACTTCTTGAATCCGCGCTGCACCCCCCTCCCTGGCGCGCGGAGCGCGCCAGGGGCGGCGCCGGAGGCGCCGCCAGGGGGGTGGGGTGGGGTGGGGGTGTGGGGCCCCGGGGTTCGCGCACGGATAGGGGAACAGATAATCAACAGAAAATTGAAACTCAAAGCTCCGCGCGGATTCCTCGGATGGGCGCCAGGGAATGGGCCCGGCGTCGACCCGAGAAATCCGTGCGGACCTCTGAATTGTTTTCATGTTTATGTCCTTGTGTGTTCCCCTAACGGAGGGCCAAGACAAGCGATGTGCACGAGAGGGACGGCTCCCGTGAGAAGGACGGGTACATGATGAGGCTAGTGCTGGGAACCGGCACCGAGGCCACTGCGTGTTGGGCCGACGATCTCGGTCAGCACCGCTTGCTGGTCTTAGAGCAGCTCCAGGAGCAGACGGAGTGCCCGTTCAAGACAGACACGCCAGTTGCAGTGGGCGAGCGCGGACGTGGAGCTGCTGAGGGAGCTCTGGCGTATCTACGGCCTGGAACAGATGGCCGTGGAGCTCCAGCCCCTGTCCTCCTCGCTCCCCCTCCCTCCCTCCTAATCCCTCGTCCTCCTCGTCCTCCGCCTCCCTCCCTCTTCCATCCATCTCTTCTTAACTTCGTTCCAGGATAACTCTGGTTTGGACTCCCGACGCACGAGCCAAGATTTATCACTGACCACCCCCAGCCCGATGATTCGGGAAAGGTTGAACGCCCAAGCTATCCGGGATAACTTTGGTCCAGGGTAACTCCAATTTGGGTCCCCGAGGCACGAACTAGGAGCCACGCTTGACCACCCCCATCCCTGATCTTAGGGGCTATGATCATCCCTCTCTCTTCCATACCTCCTCCCTCCTTCTTCCTCCCTCCCTCCCCCCACTCTCCGCCCCTTCCCGGTCCCCCTCCCCTCGCAGCCTCCACCCCCTCTTCCCCCCCTGGGGAAAACAAAGGCACCCATGACGCTAGTTACTCCACTGACCTCTCCCGGGGGGCCTTCTCGATGTGGAATGTTGAAGCGAATCCAGCGGTGGCGCCGAAGGCCTCCCGGGAGGCCCAAAACTGCACAAACGGGGAGGAAGGGTAGCGGTATGGGCACCTTTTCCTCCGCTGCCCCCTCCTCGCGCGATCCCTCGCGCAGGCCCGTCAAGCAGCAGCTTGAGCCTGCCTTCGCGCCGCCGCCCGGCGGTGGCCGCCGCCACGCACCCCCCCAAGGGAAGCCAGTGGGTCCGGCGGAGAGGCGTGCGGCTCCCCGAAAGAAGACGCGGGTGATCTTGCGCGCCTTGATGAAGGCGTACCAGTATGCACGTCGCCAGGAAAAGCCGGGCCGCCCCCCACAAGAGACTTGAGGAGGCAACTCCTGGGAGGTCTTCGCCCGAAATATCAAATGCTATTCAGCCCGATATCTGGGCCACGGACGCGAATCAGCCCAGATTAAACCCAAGATTGAGCCAGATTCAGCGGGATTAAGCCGGATCAAGCGGATTCAAACAAGATCTAGCGGGATAAAACCAGATTAAGGGATTTTCGACCATAAATATACCAGCGCCATTTCAGACTTGAAATTCCCAAGAGTTGCATCCAGAGAGACAGGTTGAAGATGTTCGGCGATAACCCAAGTTATCCGGTGGGAGGTGATGTGACTGCCGATAACCTACACCTTTTCGATGTGGACAGCCCCACGGATGTCAGCGGGCACCTGAACAGTGGACAAAATCGGGCTATCCAAGGAAGGCGGGGGGGGGCAGACGGGCCCGATAACCCGGGTTATCGCAAAGGGGGGTGCTCCAAAAGGGAGAGCCCACTCCTCCGCCCATCTCGTAGGCAGGCCGCTGGGCGCTCACATCCGTGGCGTCGGACTACTCCTCCGCACCCCCCCTCCTCCTCTTTCTCCGTCCCCCTCTGGCGTGTCCAGATGGAATCCACCTCAGCATGTCCGAGAATGTCTCTTCCTGCTCGCCAATAGCGAGGCTACGACCTTGCTGAAATCGACTGCAGCAGCGCCAGGCAAGAGGGCGGGGGAGGGCGAGGGGAGGAAGAGGTCGGGTGCTGAGCGGGAAGGTGGCGAAGAAGATGGAGGGGGAGGTATAAGATAGAGGAAGATTGAACTCAAGGAGGTCGTCATGTCCATGACTCCTCTTCCTTCATCTCCTTCTCCACCTCCTCATCGTATCATCGGCATCAACGTCATCACGCCAACCATAGTCATCACCATCACCATAAGCAGCAGCAGAGACAGTATCACCATTAAGAGAACGTTGTTTGTCATCATCGCCAATCAGCATAGTCACCATGACAATCACCACGATGGTCAGCAAAACGACCATCAACATCAACGTCAACGTCAACATCATAATCCACCAACGTGTTTTCGTCACGCTGGGACGTGCTTGAATGTATGTAGGTTGGATGGTAAGGCTGCTTTAGAATGTTCAAGGCCGACCTAACTTACTGGCGCGTGGACTTCGAAAATCATCTCCCGGCTTTGCTCCCCGAACACGGTTCCAAGACAGGGGATGTTCACGACCCGCACCACTTCAAACACGGCACCAACTTGCTTCCAGCTGCGCTGACGCAGTGGTGGGGTCTACCGCAGGCAGCACAGCAATCAAAACCATCCCAGTCAACCCCCACTGTGGGATTTACAATTGAGCGACGCCGTTGCCCGGGGAGAAAGGATTCGGGGGCGGCCCCTTTTGGTAGCGCGTGGTATAGCAAGACACCCGCGATCGCCATGAAGATGGTCCCCAACACCACGCCGAACAGCATCATCCAAGACCCATACTGCACTCCTGGCACAGACGGCCCGCTACGGCAATGGCCCCTAACGATCCGCATAAGGCATCTATACCCAACCGTTGCGTTGCCCCGCAGACCGAGGCGTCCAATAAAACGAAAGATATCAGACTGATGACATCAATACGAACAAATGGCTGGGACCGACAAGGCAGGAAGGTCCTCTGGGCCGTAAGGCCGATGCCTCATCAACGAGTGAGCCATCCTCCCCGACTGGTCCGGACCATGCGGGGGCCCAGAACGTCGGCGGGGGGGTGGGTCAAGGATTGTGAACGGGCAAAAGCGACTTGAACCGCCGCAAGTCCGCCGACCCCCGCGTGCCAGGGGTAAAAAAGCGTGTGAAATGATTGGCTGCCCCCTCCCCCGCCCAGGGTCCAAAATGCCGTTTGACCCCCCCTCTCCCCGGGATAAGGGGACGAGCTCACCAACGCACCCCCAGTACCTCTAAGCCTCCAAAGAGAACCAAAACGGTCCAAGAGGGTCCAAACAGAGCGACAAGATGCTCCAAAAGATCGTCGAGACAGCCCAAGGGAGCCCCAGGACGGTCCAACATGGCTTCGAGACCACCCACGAGGCCCCTAAGGCGACCCAAGAGTGCGCCCACAGGTTCGCCAAGAGTGCCTCAAAGAGTTATGAATCGTTCCGTTCCCAATGTAAAATGTATACTCGTTTGTTTCGCCTTGACAGCGCCCAAGACGGCACAAAAGGTTCTCCAGATCGTTCCGAGACGGCCCATGCAAGGGCACCTAAATGGCCCACGAATGCCCCAAAACGGCCCCCAGGACTGCCCCAAAACAGCCCCAGGGGCCTCCAAGACGGCCCACGACGGCCCAAGACGGCACATGTCGCGCACGCCTCTGGAATAAAGGAGCGCCGTGGAGTTTGAGGAGCTCGAATGTACGCGGATCGAGAAATGCGCTAATGATGTCTTAAGATCGCGCCCTGCAACCGCGGTCCAGAGCTGTGTAACACTACGTGCGAAGGTACGTTACAGCGTTGGCTGAAGTACACTGCGACGTTAATGTGGCACTCCACGGGTTCTGAAAAATACAAGTTGTGAGCAACGGCGCTGGTGGAGCCGAGCAACCCACCACCCTTCACAGTGAACAAAACATATGCCTTGCGCCGACGGGACACAATCGGACCTAGGCCACCCAAAAAATATTCAAGAACATGATACCCTCCGCCGATAGCTGTTGCTGTTGGCACAAGTGCCAGGATACCATGGTTCAGGGTACCTCGTAGAGCACGAGCCATTCTTCATGCGCGAGCATATAAAAATATGAAAAAGCAACAAACTGACTAATAACGTGGATGCTCAAGCATCCATAAAAGAATTGGTGAACGTCAGGTCGGCGACGACGCTGGCACGGCATCTTGCCTGCCTCAGTCAAAATGTCTGCGCTGTCGCACCGTAGTATAGTGAGAACCATCTCGCAAACTGCACGCAGCATGCGGACACGGTCTCCGCGTTGCCCAACCTGTGAGTAGCAAATCCATCCCGACTTTGAGGTCGCGCGGGGGACCGAGGTCCAGAACCCAGAGTCGAGGGGCCGTCGATGCTGAATCTCTGAACGTTGGCGTTGAAAGCGCGGGCAGCCTCCCCAAACGCGTCTGAACGATGGCGCCAAATGCCCGCAATTCTTGCACGGAAGACCCGCGCGCCTGCGTGTCTCTGATGAAACCACCCCACTGCGGCATATCGAGAGAAGGGCGCGGCCGGACTCCTATGGAGAAGCCACCCACCCACCTCGCAAACTGCTCGCGGGGACTCAAATCCACATCCACGTCGTCGATCTCTTCTGCATCGCGACGATCACGCTGCGCATTCTGAAGACTCCTGATACGCGCAATAACTCGCATGGTACGCAAGGCAGCCTCACCTGGGGCCCAGAACCTCCATCTGTCGTCGACCAGGTTTTCCACCGCCTTGTGTGCTCAACGATCGTCTGAGGGATCCACTTCCAGGAGTAGGCCTCGTTGGTCACTGTAGCGTAAATACTTCAACCCAATAGCCTGCGCGTGGTGCGCCATACTCGTCTCCAGAAAGCTAGACCAAGTAAGCTTCGCACCAGTCGCATTCTTGATGGCAAAGATATCACAAGAAAAGACTGGATGCAATGCAACACTCTGGCGTCACCATCTGCCCAAACACCGCCATGTGCAGCTGGTCCTCCAGGCGGCTTCTGCCGAAGATTTGGCCATGGCCGTTGGGGGTGGTGCCACCGCTGGGGATGCCTGCAACAAGAGCGGCCTCAGATATGCCATGGCCAACTTCAACCTGACTTGATTCGATCCAGGGATAGCGGCAAGCGCCGAAATACCACGAGCAAGCTTCTGCCAACCTTCTCGAGGTAGCATAGGGTGCACTGGATTCGTCGGATAGCATTCAACGCCCAAGTGTTCACTGAACTTCGACTGCGCGTCTTGATCTGACCATCTCTGTCGTTTGGTCGCGCTCTCCTGGCACCCGATGCTCCTGGCGAACCTACGAGTTGCGCCCAGGTCGTCCTTGGGTCCGTCTGGGCTCTGTGACACGAGGGACCTACCGTCCATGAATAAATCATTATTGCATAGCGGCTGCCATGGAAGCAGCGTGGAAATCATCGCAGAGGTGGCCATAGAGTCACCTTGTCGGAGACCGCAATGTTGTTGAATCGCATCAGCAAATTCACCCTGTAAGCTGCGCACCCTGGGACCTGACCAAGCTGTCAGGCAGGTTCACACGACTGCGTCGGGTAACTCTGACCGATCTACCGCTTCCAGCGCAATCGACCGAGAGATACGGTCGCAGGCTTTCGAGAGGCCCAGTTCCGCCCCATCTGCCCCGTCAGCGCAGTCCGCCAACCATCTGGATATAGCGCGTGGCACTGAACTCCCCCTCCGGTTCGCACATTGGTTCCCAGGGGGGCAGGGGCGGCATTCGCAAGTGCTCGGAACCATGTTCTGAGGAGGACCGATCCGACAGCAATAGGCCGGGCGTCCGCTTCGCCTTTTGCCTTTGCTAGCCCTGCATATCTCCGCCCAAGGATCAGGCCGAGGGCTTCGCCAGGTAGCCGCCCTTTCAAGTGGGAAGCCCCCTGGCTCGTCAGCACACGCAAATCATGCCGCTCGCGGGCAATCTGCGGGGGCACATCCAACCGCCCAGGCCTGGGCAGCCCTTCGGCAGCATGATGGCGTCCAGGAGCTCTTCGTAGGATGGTGCCCAATCCTGCGGCTTGGGAAGACCTCGGGGAAACGATGCTCTGCGCATGTTGCTGTCGAGCGTCTAGGTGCGGTCCGTCGTCGTAGTCCAGATGGTCCCAGAGCTGCTTCCATTGGTCCCTCATCTCATGTGCGGTACATGATTGCGTTGGGGGCATCGCCTTGAAAAGAAGAATATTAAGCCGCCAGATTTCTGAATACGGAGCTGGGAAACGCTGCCTGTGCCGTCTGGCGCAGTCCTCCTGCAGGCGTCTTTGCTCGATGTCGATGCCTGAGACGAAGGGCGTGAGTGCGTCGGCGTTGCTCTCAGCCGGTCGTTGGTAGGTGGGGCAGGTGGGGAAGATCGAGTGCTGCCTTCGCCGCCTGCTTATAGCGTGTCATACTCAATGCGCTGGTGCCTAGTGCGCCTTGCCGTATAGCTGCTCAGCGAACCGTCGATGTAGGCGAAGTAGACGTCGTTGTGCAATGGACTGGTCCAGCCTGTAGGCTGGCGAGTGTCTCGTATGCCCGATAGTTGGGGCGGGGCCTTTGCCTCGCTCGGCCGCCCGCTCCATCGCGGCGCGCCCCTCGTTCCACGGCCGCGATCATAGTGCGTTCAGCTCGATCGTGCCAATATCTCCATTTAGCCGCTAGGTCAGGTTCCTGGAGGTCGTCGACGACTGGAGGTCCAGAATCAGCGCCCACAAGTTCCTGCATGAGGCGTCTTTCGTCGCCCAGCGGGGCTCGGAATGATACGCGCGAGGCTGCGTGGCACTTGCGCGTGGGTGCGACGCCGACAAATGGGATCGCCAGCTCGTGCGTCACAAGACCATGATGGGCTACACCAGGCGGGGGGGCGCGCTCGTCTGCAGGGGAGGCGACCCATCGCCTAAGTGCACAGCGCGCGTTGGAGACGTCGAGACCGCAGTCGCATGCGTGTCCACGCCAGGCGCGCTGCGACACATGGTCCACGACGTTGTCATAGGTAAGTAGGCTGGCCTCCAGTTGAGGTCTCCAATCACACGCAGCGGGCATCCCACGTGCCCCAGGGCCTGCAGTGATG